GGGAAGGGAATCCCCACCCAGTAGGGGGCTCACCGCTACCTGACCCACCAGCGAATCAGGGCAGGGAGCCGGGACCTGCCCCTCCCCTGCAGTTTTTTCCAAGTCCCCAACTCCCATTAGGGAGCAGGGGACAGGAGATCCCTGTTGCCAGGACAGGAGGCCATTGTCCCTACCCAGGCTCTGGTGGCAGAGCCCACCCCAGCAGCAGGCAGCCCCCTAGGGACAGGGAGCAATGTCTGAGCTCTTGCCAGGAGACAGCTGTCTCCTGGCCCCATGCTCCCTGCCATCCCTTGGGCTAGCACCCTCCCCCTGACATCTGCAGGGGACCACTACAGGGCCACCGGGGGCAGTAACAGATTGCTGCCATTAGGGGTGTCATATTCAATTTAAATTTAAATTCGGATTCAGCTCAAATCAGGGACAGTGATTTGATTCATTGATTCAGATCACTGTCCCCGATTCAGTTTGGCCAAATCAGAATCTGAAGATTCGATGGAGAATCAGTAATTCGGCCATAGACACAGCTTTAAAAGTTTTTTCTACATACCTTGAAGTACCAGGCATGGCTTGTGAATGCTGCAATGCTGGGGCAGATGGAGCGTCCCACAGCAGGGGGGGCCCCCTGCGTATTCCACGGCAAACCCAGAAGTGGACCGGAAGTATTTCTGGTCCGCTTCCGGGTCTGCCAGGGAGCACGCGCCGCCCCTGCTCCCCTGGCTTGGCGATCAGCCATGGGGGGATCCCGGGTGCCCCCCCCTGACCCAGGAGGCAGCAGACCAAGCCAGGGAGGCATGGGAGGGGGGCCACATGCTCCCCGGAGGACCTGGAAGTGGACCAGAAGTGCTTCCGGGTCTGCTACCAAGCACTCCTGTGGGATGCTCCATCCGCCCCACTATCACAGTGCTGATGAGCCGCATGGTAGTTAGAGGTATGTAGAAAAAACATTTAAATCTGTGTCTATGTCTGAATCTTTCTGAATCTCTCCAAATTGACGCTAAGACATTAAAGGGTCGCCTGATTTGATTCGGATTTGGAGATTCAGCCACTGAATTGGGCTGAATCTCCACCAAATCGAATCAGGGACCAAACCTTTGCACAGCCCTAGCTGCCATGATCTGCAAATCTGCTGCCGAAACCTCGCGCATGTAGATGCCTGCCTGGGTCAGTTTAATCTAAAACTGATCCCACATTATTTGCATGTGTAGACATGCCCAATATCATCCAATTTTCTCCGTGTAACATCTCAAGCCTCCTGTATACCAAGGTCATCTCTTTCCTTTGAGTTTCATCAACATACTATCACTTTTTGTGCCAATCAACTTCATCAGTGAAATTAGCAAGTAAGATCAGGCATGACACTGATCCTTGAGAAACTAGTAACCTTTCTCCAGCCTTAGACTTCTCTTTTGTAACAACACCTGTATCATCTTCCCTTTCACCAGTTCTTTGCCCATTTCACAGTTCTGCTAATTTCCATCTTCTCCATCTTTTCAATAATAATTTTCCACGTGGCAATCCAGCTAATGGTAATTAGAGAGCTTTAAGTGCTGTATGTTCTCATTTCAAGAAAAACATCCCTGAAGTCCGTGGAGTTACACTAGGTATTAATGTGGCCCAACAGTGTTACATTCAGTATTCTACAAGAAAGGGGAATCTATGGTCCACAGATCCATGGCTCTTTCCAGAGCCACAACACAATGGATGACAGTAATGGGAACAGTTGTAGGATAGTTGATATTTGTCTCCATTTCCACCTCAGCTACTGATCCACTCAGATCATATTCCCTGAATTCTCAGAAATTCCACTGAGGACCCTAGCCATTTTGCCCAAACACTGATAGTAGGATTGGGCCTTTTGTACATAAAATCTCCATGCTGGGTTCTGGTCTCAGTTGCAAATATGAATTTATGGGAAGACCACTGCTTCAGACAGGAACCAAAGCCTCAGGAAATACAGACTGAGCACAGCAACAGATTAAAGCTAGGGAAAACAGCAATGAGAAAGACTCCCGGGAAACAGGATGGGCAATTATTTCATATTATAAAAGAAGAACAGAGCCTGTGGAAACACTATATTCCCCATAAGAGGCTGGATTCTGCCCTCAGACAAACCCATAATTGGGATTTCAGTAATTAATGCAAATTAGTTCAAAGCACAATGTAGCCTCAAATGTGAGTACAACCTACCCCTATGCCACAGGTGCAGTATAGCAACAGGGCTTCTTAGTGAAAGCACAGCAGATGGTGAGACTGATTCAGCTTTCACCAGGATAAATCTGTGGTAGTTTCATTGACATCAGTGGAGTTATTCCAAAACTACACTAGTGTACACAAGAGCCGTATCTCTGTTTACTGAAAATGGATCCCATCACACTAATTGAAAAACAACAGATGTCTCAACTAGCAGTAAGAGGAGACAGGAATGTTCCCATTTTCTTCTAAATACCATTTTATTTCTCTCCTAAGAGTGTAAGAGAATTTGCCACATTTTGCTCTACAGGACAGATTCTCAGGTTCTTGGGTTGCTCAGGGCAAACCAGTACAGCCCTACAGAAGTTCAGGAAACTACACTTATTCACAGCAGTTTATGAGCTAGACTCTAAGGCACTAGCCCAGAGACATAAGGTTGGTTTCTCCTCTCACTTAAATCTAAAGTTACCTGCAGACAGTTGAGCAATGTCTGTATAAAAGTGGGAAGACATCAGAATCATTTTCCTTAAGCATTTGTAGGTCATAATAATTAAATTCTTCTGCTATTCACAGACTTTTAGCTAGCAAGCTCTGAAGCAGTTTAAAAAGGTAGGTGAGCACCAGTGTCATAGCAAGGAAGTTTGGCATCTGGGGCAAAGCCTGCAGCAGCAGACAGCCCTTCCCCAGCACACAGATCTGGGGGGCACCGCCCCCCCTACCCATGCTTGCCCAGAAGTGCACACAGTGGCAGGAGTCACCCTCCCATTGTTCCCGCGCCCCCCACAAATAAGCCGTTCATAGCTCTGTCCTGTACCCTGCCCCGGCTGGGTAGCCTGTTGGTGCCCCTTCACTTCAGTGGCTGGGGCAGTTGCCCCACTTGTCCCCCCTTGCTACAGCACTGGTGAACACCATTACAACCATCTCACATAAGAGGAAGCAGAGGCAAAGAGAGGATAAGTTACATGGCTGAGATTTCACAGAAAGTCAGTGGCAGCAGGGACTAAACCAAAGTTCTCCCAGAAGTCCTTTTCGCTACCCATGAGACAGCACTGTCTTTGATTGCTTAAGTAATCAGTAACATAACTAAAGAGTATGTGGGGAGGGGGTGATTGAGGCAATAACCCCAGCTGCCCACCAAGCGGGGAAATGCAAAAATAGCAGCCACTGCAGATGCTGGCTGGCCATATCACTGCCAACAGCAGCCCAATAGCTGCCACTGCCATGTGCACCACTGCTGCCCAGGGCTCAGAGCTGCCCTGTTATATTTCTGTCAGTAATCTAAGCTGCATGTGGAAACCTGTGTGTCCAACTCACTCCACAAAAATCACTGAAAAAAAGGCAACTTAGCAAAGTTAAATCTGTCTCCACCTCTGTTTCACAAGAAGGAAGACTTGTTCATTTTTCTATATAAGTAGCAAATCCTCATGCAGTAGGCAAGGCTAAGGCCACATTTATCTTGGAAACTGCAAACATCAGTGTTACTGTGTCCAGGCATTTCTGCCAAGACAGCAGACCCCAGACTGGCCTATCTGAAACAAACTAAAGGCCAAAGAACAACAAAGCCTTATGTAACCAATGCACTTTAATAAGGAAAGCAATGGCATAGTCCCCTTACTGAAGCCATGGGCTGCCTCCCCTATGATATCTTCTTGAGTTTAATTCCTTCCTCTGCTGGCTCATGTCTTATTTAGACCCTGATCCTATATATTGCTAAGCCCCTTCTGGGATTTAATGAGCAACTTTGTCTTCTGTTGACTTAGAGGGTAGTTGAAGGCACTCAGCACACTCCGGGAGGTGTTCATTATTTTACAAGATTCAATCCTGATCCTGCAAATGTCTGTTCCCATGCTTAACCTTATGTCCCAGAAGTCAGGAGCCTGACTCATGAGTGCAAAAGTAAGTGCAGAGAGTAATGTTTTTGAGATATGGACCTTGGCCAGGAAGCTCTTAGGAGCAGAGACACTGCACACAGTATGAGACAGTGCCATGTGGAGATCTGAGCTAATTCTGCATGCATTAGCTCCCAAACTAGAAGCAGCACAGTGGCATTCATTGTTTTCTCAGCAAGTCTAATTAGCCCAGGTACAATGCTATGCAAATACTGAGACACTACTGTCCTTGTAGAGTGCCTGCAGAGTGAGCTTGGGTATTTCCGTGTGGCACTGTCTAACACCATGTCAATATACCCTGAGAAGAAAATACTTCAGTACATCCCTGTGAAAAGGGTTACTGTGGATTTACTCTATTACAATTCAGATCCAAATCTGGTCCACTGTCTGCAAACTTCTATGCACTTTTTTGACACTATATAACAAGTAAGAATGATCTTATCAGATTGAACCTGGAGAGACTCCAGTGCCTTTGGTGGAGTAACTTCAGATGATGTACTTCAAATTGCTATAACTGAGAAGAAGACCTGTGGGAATGCTATAGGTAACACCTGTTGAGAACCACAGATCATTTCCCTGATGTAAATAGGATCTCCATTTTTAAGCTTGGCAAAAATAAAACAAGCAAAAGTCATTTTTAGAAAAAAATTAATACATGTCTTTTCTTGATGCAAAGCTGTAGGGCCATATCCTACTACAAATCAAGAGAGTGATGTGGTGCTCAAGGTTGTTATTTACACCAATTTGTGCCAGCAGATGAGGAGGGCCTAACGCATGGCAGTTTCAGAATCTCCCATTATCGTTCTCTGTCTCTTCACCTAGGAGATTTTCCCTGCAGGCTGCAAATCTTAATTAGAAAATAATTCCCATTAATTGCAAAAAAAAGCAGTTAGTTAATAGAAGAAAGCAAAAAATGCTTACCTATTTTTGCTACCCTAGCTGATGCTGTAGCTCTTCTCCTCTGGGAATTACTATGTTCACTCCAGCACAGTGGGGAAGATGCTTCTTTCTTGACCCTGCATCTTGCTGGGATGAATTCCCTCTGCACTCATGCTGCTTTGTCTCCATGGGAATCTTTTTACGTTAAGTGGAGGGGCCTGGCAGGGAATACCAGTCAGTCTATTTTCAGCCCCACACAGCCTGCAACAGACGCCAATCCTACCAGCAGAAACTGTAACCTGAAAAGCGAGACACAAAAAAAAGAGAGATTGCAACACTTTTGGTAGGAAGGGAATGCAAAACTTACCTCAAAGCTCTGTACATTAGCTTCCAAGAACAAAATCAAATAATTAATCTGCCCTGTCTTTGTTTTCTACAAAATATTCCTTTGGGAAACTAGCCAGGCCACTGATGGTAACAAGCCAGGCACAGTACCCTCTTCAACAGAAAGGCTCAGAAACAATCAGAGGTCTCTTCAATCGCAAAGGGTTGGGGGGGGGGGGGGGGGGGGGGGGTGGGGTATACAACTTGGGCGGTGGGAGGGGGGGGGGGGGGGGGGGGGGTTCAGCTGGGATAATCAAGTTGTCCCTCTTTTTTAATTCAAACTTTCTGATTCCCCAAATATTGGGACCTGGCATCCAACTGATTTCAGAATTACAGGCCTTTTACCCTGCCCAGCCCCTTGACTGACAATCTTCAGGACACCCTTCTCAGAACCCCTCCTCCCCTCTTACCATTTGCAGTAGCGTATGCAAGTGCCTCCCCTTTTCCTGTATGCATTGTCTGTTGCCATCAAACATCTGTAATGTCTGTCAGTCTTGATTTCATACAGAGCAGAAGCAGGAGGTGTTTGGGGATGGGAGCACACCTTCTTGGGCAAGCAAAAGAAACCACTTCTCCAAACAGTTGTAATAACCGGGCATTTGTGTCTGGGAAGCTGGAATATTTAGCCAGTGTTTTGCTTGTAGCCAAAGTCACAAGGTACAGAGAAATAGTCTGGGAGGTTGTTATGGAAACAAATCCCTGGAGATGCCGACTTTCCACAAATGCTTCACAAAGATGTGCTCTGACTTAAGAAGGGAAAACAGCAAGACAAATCAGCAGCTTTTTCTACCTCAGATATTTGAATTGGTGTGCTTGAAGTTAGGACCTTACAATGGAACTTTCCAAAACACCTACGTGACTGGAAGCCTAAGTCTTGGCAAAAGTCAATGGGACTTTATGCTTCTAAACTACTTAGATGCTTTTAAAATCCTGCTCCTAAATCCCCTAGACACCTAAATGGCTTAATAATCCAAAGATGCTCCATATGAAAACATCACTAAAGTCAATGGGAATGACAGGTGTTTGTTCCACCTGTATATCAGACTGCCTTTATTTAAGTGTCTGAATTTAGGCATTCCTATAGAATATTTAGTTCTCTCTTCCCTGTTTGCATGTCTCTACTATGACAAGGAAAATCCACAAAGTCCACTTCACTATTAAGTTCTGAAAAGACTGGGTTGTGTCTGCAGAAACTTCAGATTTTTTGCAATGCTTGCTTTTCTTAATCTGTGTGTGGGGGGGGGGTTTAAACATGTAAAGACATTTCTATTAGCTATAAAAGCTACTCATGTCACAAACACCAAGCATACCAATTTACAACCAATTAGAAGCATTCCTCTAAATAAAATCAATTTCCAGAAAACTAGAGAAAACTTTGTAGGAGATACTGGAGTTCAGTTATTGGTTATCAGCTGTTTCATCTCTTATCCTTTTTCATCTAAATGCCCAGTCACATGACCATGCAGGTTTGCAGAACAATCCACCCTTAAAAACTAAGTTTTCTGTCAGGCAGTGATCAGGAAGTCCAGACCAAGGAAGAAACAGACTGAAGAGTTTTGCTTCTGTCTTCGAGTCAGCGTGTTGTGTCCCTTCTCCTCAGCTCTGGTTTAGCCTGAGTTTTTTATATCTCAGTTTCAGGAAACTTTTAATTGCTACCCCAAACATGGGCATTCTACTGAGAGAGAGAGAGAGAATGAACACCTCTGATACCTTTCACTGCTTCACCAAAATAGCCGGCTTGTCCACCAAAATACTGTGCACCTGCTAAACTACAGAGGTTCAAGCAAAAATACTCTCTTCCATATAAAAAAAAATGAATTAATCCTATTAAAGTCCTTCTGAAATGCAATCTCATAATGTAATAGCTATTTACTAGACTCTCTTGACAGATCAGAGTAACAGCTTGTATTTAGTCACTTGAAAGTCCCACCTTACAAATCATTTTTAAGTCCTATTAATTTTCATTGGGATGACATGCCTGATGCTGCTCGCTTTAATGGTTGATAAAAAGAGGCCTTAAGTCTTTGACTACACTATTAGTTGTTTTCACTGACAATCTACCAGTGGCTCTCAACCTTTTCAGACTAAGGCGCCCCTCATTAGATTCAAGGCACCCCTTGGAAAATGCCAGCTCTTAGCTTTCCCTTATTTTTTTTACTATAGAAACATAACAGAGCAATTCTTTTGTTGCAAAGAACTCAAAAAGAATACAACAAGTCTGAATGTTTTTGAGACTATGGATTTCTTTTTGGAATCTCTGGGTTTATCTTGTGAATCATGGCTGTGGCACCCTGCACACCCCTGAAAGACTCTCAAAGCACCATGAACCCCTATGCTCAACCCCCAATGGCTGTCCAGCCCAACCCTAGAAGCAATGCTGAACTCCTGGTTGCCTCCTCATCCACATTTCCCTTTAGTGTTTGGAATTCCACAGGGAAAGGGGAGAGAAAATAAGGCCACAAGCACAAGAAATCTACCAGCAGCAATCCCACAATTCCCTCTTCATGACTCCTGGCCCTTATGTACCCAATTTCCTCTATGACCCCCAATTAAAATCAAATACAGAGGAACAGATGCAAACAGCTTGAGGACTGATTCGTAGAAGGGCTCCGCCCAAGGGACATGAAACAAAATGTGGACAGCATGATAAAATACAGATAGGGCGAGGCCAGATGAGGGCAGCCCCTGGAGTTGACCCAAAGTATCAGTAGAGCCCCATCCTTCACTCCTTGTTCAGGAAAAACTATCACCATTTGAATGGGAGATGAGAATGGCAACATTTAGGGTCAGGTTTAAGAGCTCGTTTCTGCACCAAAAAAGACAATGGGACTTTTGCTACTGACTTCAGTGGGGGAAGGTTTTATGTCTAATGCCTTGGTCCTTCATTTGCACCTGTGCAAAGAGATCCCTGCACCCTCCCAGAACTCCTATGAAGTCCCTGGGGAGGTCTGGGAGAGAGCCAGGTGGAGTTTGCACAGGGGTAGGTTCTTGGTGGGGGACAAGGGTCTATGTGAGCAAAGGTCTCAATAAAGAATTCATCCAAGGTATGGAGTGAGATCTCAAAGCAACAAGAAATCAGTAGGGACCCAAAGGTGCACATGGATCCTGCCTGACAACCCACATGGTTCTAACTAACTTAAGGCATGAAATAGATGTTCTTTAGCCCTGCTTTATGGTTGGCACACACACTACATAGAATATGCAGAAAATGTATAATTGCATCACTATATTCCATTATGCATGTTGTTTTATGTATTACATGTGTTACATGCAATATATAATACATTCTATACATGTGTAGCACAACACAAGGCATTGATGGCAGTATTTCTCTCTCTCCAGTGCCCATCCATGAATGCGAAACATATATTCAATTTAGAAGACATTTCCTTCCTGAAGAATTTACCAACAAATTCTGTAAGCATACTGTTCATTTTCCCTCTGTTTCCACTTCCAGTGCTCCAGCAATTCTTAAATCAGACAGAAGTCAGTGTTAATTTAAATAACAAAATGATCTGGGGCACCTAGGATTCATCTGGAAATGCAAATCCTTTGTGTATTGACAAAGCAATACATCAGACCAGGATGTGCCTTTGGCATCACTGACTAAAGTTGTTCTCACAAAAACCTGGAGCACGTGAATAGGTGTGACTTCACTTTCCAGCTAAACTAATTGTTTTGAGCATTTATTGGAAAACAAGAGTTTCCTCTCAACATGAAGCTTCTTCCTCATTTGAGAGATCACTATTCTGCTTTTAAGATTTAGTCAGATGAATTAGGGAAAATCTGAACTGGTGCCAATGCAAATCCCTAACACCTATGCCCCCAATTAATAGTACACTAATACAAATCACTAGTACAACTCCTGATTTGCACCAGGGCAGTGTATTTACAATAGGGGTTTTCAGCAGTATAACTAAATCACTGCACAGTTCCCTACTTTATACAAGTCCTGGCAAACCCCACTGAAGTCAATTGTTCCCAGTGTGTCTGAGTACAGACCTGGGCACTTGCCACATAAAGCATGTTACATTTAAACATTGTTATTTAATACATTCATGGTAAAAATGAATCATTTCAAACATGCCTTGCATAGGAAGGCACTTACTGTGAAGGTTTAATTGCTATAATAAATACTAAGTAACACCCAATGTAAACAAAGATATGTTCAAACAAACTAAAACAAAAAATTAAGACAGTCTCTACCAAGCCCATTGACTTAAAACACAAAAGGCCTGTTTTTGAACACATCAGCTGTGACAAATTTGGGACAATAATCCTCACAACCAGTTAAGAAACTAAAGTGCTCCTGGATCTGTGCATCTATAAGCAAACAGAGCAAAAGGTGTCAGGGGAAGACATCTGTTTGCTTAATTTCCCTATAAGCTGCAGAACACACTGTGATGCGTGGATACAGCCTGTCCATTATGCAGAGGCTATGGTATGGCAGGCGTGACCGATCCCAGCGCCAAGGGCACAGTGCTGGAACAGGAGCTCCGGACACAGCTTGAGCCAGATGTTTGCAGCCCTCTTAACTATTCCCTGCCTGGCCTTCTAGCTGCAAACATAGCTGGGGCTTCTCTTGTGCAAGGGAGAAATATTAGTCTTCAGTGCTATTACTGGCCAAAAGCACGCTCTCCTGCCGTAAAATGGAAGGGTAAGGGGACAAGAAAGGGCACCTCACAGAGTAAAGCAAGGACATCTGACTGCACAAGCTAACGAGTCATGGCAAGTCAGGACAAGAGTGCCCCAATTACAATCACTGTGCTTTCAAGATCACGGTTCACAATCTGATGTGCTGTCCTGACCGTATTCAGCTGCAAGTGCAGAACAGGTAGCACAACAGGATCCTGGATATAGGGATAAGGGCTGTGAAAAGGAAGAGTCTTAATCCACACCCCAAAAGAGAAGATTGTCACACTTCTGTCAGCATTTTCTTCTCTTTGTAGCCCTGGCTGTTGGTTGCAATGAAGTTGGGATATTTCATGGACTCCAAATCTTCTGCCTCCAGAAATTCTGATTTGCTGAGGGACGAAGTACTATCTCCCTTCTTGGGCTCAGAGAAGGGAGATTGCTGCTGGCCACAGGTGACATGGGTATACTGGCTCTGCTCCTCCTGGTCAGTCTCTCGGTGGTAGAAGTAATTGAAGTTGGACACGATGACGGGCACAGGCAGGGCTATGGTCAGCACGCCAGCAATGGCACACAAAGAGCCCACGATCTTGCCCCCAATCGTCAGAGGGTACATATCCCCGTAGCCCACAGTGGTCATGGACACCACCGCCCACCAGAACGCATCCGGGATGCTGGTAAACAAGGAGTCGGGATCGTCGGTCTCTGCAAAGTACACGGCGCTGGAGAAGAGGATGACTCCGATGAAGAGGAAGAAGATGAGGAGCCCCAGCTCCCTCATGCTGGCCTGGAGGGTCTTCCCCAAGATCTGCAGCCCCTTGGAGTGCCGGGAGAGCTTGAAGATCCGGAAGACCCGAACCAGGCGGATGACACGGAGGATGGCCAGTGACATGGCTTGCTGCTGGCCCCCGTTATTCCCACTGCCGCCAGCCCCAGGCTGCTGCTGCTGCTGCCTCTGCTTCTGCTGCTGCTGCGCCAGCTCGGTGCCCAGCGTGATGAAGTAGGGGATGATGGCCACAATGTCGATGATGTTCATGATGTTCCTGGAGAACTCAGGCTTGCTGGGGCAGGCGAAGAAGCGCACCAACAGCTCAAAGGAGAACCAGATGATGCACAGTGTCTCAATGAGGAAGAAGGGGTCGGTGAAGAAGGGCCCGGTGGCGGCCCCTGGGTGCAGCGGCGGCCCTGCGGTGCCATCGGGTGCCAGTGGCAAGAGGAGCAGGGGGTCCTCGGCCAGCGTAGCCTCCCCAAAACCAGTCGGGGGGGAGGCCTTGCTGTCCTGGCGGAACTCGGGCAGGGTCTCCAGGCAGAAGATGACGATGGAGATGAGGATGACCAGTACGGAGACGATGGCGATAGCACGGGCCGGCCCCGAGCTCTCGGGGTACTCAAAGAGGAGCCAGACCTGGCGCTGGAAGTGGTGGCGTGGCAGGGGCTTCTCCTCCTCCTGGATGAAGCCCTCGTCCTGGCGGAAGCTCTCAATGGCCTCCTGGCCCAGCTGGTAGAAGCGGATCTCCTCCAGGAAGACGTCGAGGGGCACCTGCACGGGCCGGCGCAGCCGCCCGCCCGACTGGTAGTAG